CTGCAGCACAGCAGCGGAGCGTGCTGCCTGTTCCCCAGCGGGTGGTCAGTACAAGCCCCGACACCCGCCTCACTGAAGCGCTTCACGAGAACACCGCACCCTCCAGCCCACAGCCCCCACATCCCCTCCAGCCATCTCCCACCGCTCACTCCAGGAGCTGGTGAGCCTGGCTGTCTTCCGCATCCCCAGTCCCTTCTCCTGTGCATGCCTAACCCCTCCTCATGACAGGAGGTCCCCTTTCAACACCGCTTCCCCAGGGAAGCCCCCCATTCTGGGTGAGGTGCCGCCCGGACCCCCATCACAGCTCCGAGGATGCTGCATCATAACCTGGCTGGACAGCAAGCTTTGTGGGGCAAGGAGCCTGTCTGTCCTCTCATTCTTTTATCCACACTACTCAATTCAGTACACAAGCGAGGCAAATCACTCCATCAGAAAGGTCTCAAGTTCGAGAGGGGCAGGGAAGGGATCACTCGTTTTTCTAAGCATCCTATATGGATTGAAGACAACTACAGTCTCAGGAGGACAGTACAGGCACCCTGTCCTCCACTGTTCATCTGAGCCCTGATTTCACGGGCATCCGAGAAGGGCCACGACATAATCCGCTCTATCATGGCCTGGACTCAGCGGACCAAGGCCCATCCCTAGCCCGCCTAGGCCACAGAGAGTGTGCAAACCCACGTGTGTGTCCCCACTGCCCGAGTAAATGTCTCACATAGATATACACATTATCTCTTGTGATTAGAAAAATTAATAAAAAATTGAAAGCGTTGCTAACCTCCTGGTCAATTTCCACTATGTAAATAATTAAACACCAGATATGAAAACTACTACTATTACTAAAAAAGGAGCTCTGGTGACACAACGGTTAAAGTGCTCGGCTGCTAACCAAAAGGTCCGTGGTTTGAACTCACCAGCCACTCTGAGGGAGAAAAGACCTGGTGATCTGTTCCCATCAAGATTACAGCCTAGGAAACCCTACCGGGCTGTTCTACTCTGTCACATACGGTGGCTGAGTAGGAATCGACCTGACAGCACACAATGACTATTACTATATGGAGTCATGCATTGTATGGGAATGTAGAAAAGGGGGCCTCATGATAAGAAGGGCTGGGAACCCCTTTACCAGCCCGGAAGTTCCTCGGACGTTTGTCTCTAGACCCCCTGCTCCCAGTACAGGGTTTGGCACCATGCAGGTGCTGAATGAATTGTCTGCTGCTCCAAGCAAGGCTGCATGGGCAGGCCAGGAATGAACATGGAGACTTGATCCTCCTGGACCCACCCAAGTGCTGAGGTGAGAGGTAGAAATCACCCCATTTGTGATGCTGCTTTGGGGGCTGCACGAGGTCCCAGTGCGCAGGAGGAGCTGCTGAGGCAGCAGTCTGGGGACACTTCTGCATGACCATCCAACCCACCACACTGTGGCCTCTGCAGTGAGCGGTGAAAGTCTACGGTATGTGCCAGGCAGGCACGGGAACCTGTCTGTGCTGATGATTTATGCCTTGAATAATCAGGTCAGTGGACCGTTTCCAAGACAAAGATGCAGCCTGTCTCCCACCCACCCAGCTCAGGCGGAGGCTGTTTCTGCAAGGCATCAAGGGCGCCTTCTCAGCAGGGGGTAAGGCGAGTAGCCCCGTCACTTACATTCCTCAGGGACAGACACTCCCTGAACAGAGCTGGGGAACAAACAGCCTCCCTCTGCCTGCCTCTGCCCAGCCAAGAATGCCAGGGCCCACCAGCAGCAAGAGAACATGCAGGGGTCTCCGGCAAATGGCCTGACCAGGCGAGCCCCACAGGACTGCGTCGCGGGTGGGGACCTCCAGCCAGGAGAGACAATACTGGACTCTTGAGATCTGTACTCAGTCCCTTCCAAGCTGCCCGGGGTAATGAAAGAGTTTTGGAAATAGATGGTAGTGAAGGTTGCACAACACTGTGAATGCAATTAATGCCACTGAATGCACACTTAAAAATGGTTAGAACAGCAAATTTTGTGAGACACACACACGCACACACCCAACACCCTAAACGCAGACCCCCAGCCTCCAGAACTGTGAGACCATAAAATTCTGTTGCTTAATGCCACAGTAGCCCTAGGACACTATGACAGCCGTCACTGTGTTGTGAAGAGAGAACGGAAAACCTTGAAAGGCATCACTGCCCTCCATCAACCGACCATTCCTTCCCCTGCTCACCCCTCACCCTCTGACGCCTTGAGACAGAAGAGGAGCAAAGAGGGAGCCCTCTGGGGAGGTCCAGACAGACTGTAAGCTCCTTGGGTGGTGCAAATGGTTTGTGCTCGACTGTTAAGGCTGGTGGTTCAAATCCACCCAGCGGTACTGTGAGAAAAAGGCCTGGTGATCTGCTTCCATAAAGATTACAGCCAAGAAAACCCTACGGGGCAGTTTTACGGGCATACCTCAGAGACAGTGCAGGCTTGGTTCCAGACCACCACAATAAAGCAAATATCACAATAAATTCACATGAATTTTTTGGCTTCCCAGTGCATGTACGTTATGTTTATACTATACGGTAGTCTATTAAGTGTGCAACAGTATTACGTCTAAAAAAAAACAATGTACGTACCTTAATTAAAAAATATTTCATTACTAAAAAATGCTAACCATCACCTGAGCCTTCAGCGAGTCATAAACTTTGCTGGTGGAGGGTCTTGCCTTGAAGTTGATGGCTGCCGAATGATCAGGGTGGCGGTTGCTGAAGGTTGGGGTGGCTGTAGCAATTTCTTAAAATAAGAAAATGGTGAAGTTGGCTGCATTGATTGACTCTTCCTTTCACAAAAGATTTATCTGTAGCATGTGATGCTGTTTGACAGCATTTTACCCACAGTAGAACTTTTTTCAAAATTGGAGTCAACCCTCTCAAACTTTCTGCTACTGATTTATCAACTAAGTTTATGTAAATAATCTCAATCCTTTGTTGTTATTTCAACAATGTTCACATTCACAGCCCCTTCACCAGGAGTTGATTCCATTCCATCTCAAGAAACCACTTTCTTTGCTCATCCGTATGAAGCAACTCCTCATCCATTAAAGTTTTATCATGAGATTGCAGCAATTCAGTCACAACTTCAGGGTCCACTTTTAATTCTAGTTCTCTTGCTATTTCCACCACATCTGCAGTTCCTCCACTGAAGTCTTGAACCTCTCAAAGTCATCCATGAGGGTTGGAATCAACTTCTTCTAAACTCTTGTTAATGCTGATATTTTGACCTCTTCCCATGAATCACCCATGTTCTTAATGGCATCTAGAATGGTGAATCGTTTCAATTGATTTTTCCCAGATCCATCAGAGAAATCACTATCTATGGCAATTATAGGCTTACAAAATGTATTTCTTAAATAATAAGGCTTGAAAGTTGAAATTACTCCTTGATCCACAGGCTGCAGAATGGATGCTGTATTAGCAAGCATGAAAACAACATTAATCTCCTTGGATATCTCCATCAGAGCTCTTAGGTGACCAGGTGCATTGTCAATGAGCAGTAATATTTTGAAAAGAATCTTTTTCTGAGCAGTAGGTCTCAACAGTGGGCTTAAAATATTCAGTAAACCATGTTGTAAACAGATGTGCTATCATCCAGGCTTTGTTGTTCCATTTATAGAGCACAGGCAGAATAGATTTAGCCTAATTCTTAAGGGCCCACAAGGATTTTCGGAATGGTAAATGAGCACTGACTTCAACTTAAAGTCACCAGCTGCATTAGCCCCTAACAAGAGTTAGCCTGTCCTTTGAAGCTCTGAAGTCAGGCCTTGACTTCTCTCTAGCTATGAAAGTCCTAGATGGCATCTTCTTCAAATACAAGGCTGTTTCGTCCACACAGAAAGTCTGTTGTTTAGTGCATCACCTTCATCAACTGTCTTAGCTAGATCTTCTGGATAACCTGCTGCAGCTACTACATCAGCAGTTGCTGCTTCACCCTGCACTTTCATGTTATGGAGACGGCGTCTTTCCTTAAACCTCATGAACCAACCTCTGCTAGCTTCACACTTTCTCCTGTAGCCTCCTCGCCTCTCTCAGTCTTCAGAGAATTGAAGAGAGTTAGGGCCTTGCTCTGGATCAGACTTTGGTTTAAGAGAATATTGTGGCTGGTTTGATCTTTTATCCAGACCACTAAAACTTTCTCCGTATCAGCAATAAGGCTGTTTCACGTTCTTATCATTTGTGTGTTCGCTGGAATAGCACTTTTAATTTCCTTCAAGAAACTTTCCTTTGCATTCACAACTCAGCTAACTGAAGTAAGGGGCCTAGCTTTCGGCCTATCTCAGCTTTCAAGGTGCCTTCCTCACTAAGCTTAATCATTTCTAGCTTTTGATTTAAAGTGAGAGACGTTCGACTCATCCTTTCACTTGAACACTTAGAGGCCATTGCAGGGTTATTAACTGGCCTAATTTCAATATCGTCGGGTCTCAGGGAATAGGGAGGCCCAAAGAGAGGGAGAGAGATGGGGGAACGGCCAGTTGGTGGAGCAGTCAGAACACACACAACATTTGTTGATTGAGTTCACTGTCTTACATAGGCATGGTTTGTGGAGTGCCAGAACAATTACAATAGTAACATCAAAGATCACTGATCACAGACCACCATAACAGATACAATAACAAGGAAAAAGTCTGAACTATTGTGAGAATTATGAAAATGTGGCACAGAGACACGGCGTGAGCACATGCTGTTGGAAAAACAGCCCCGCCAGACTTGGTGGACGCAAGGTTGCCACAAACCTTCAATTTGTAAAAAATGCAGTAACTCTGAAGTGCAATAAAACAAAGAGCAATAAAAACAAGGTATACCTCTACTCTGTTACACGGTCTCTGTGAGTCAGAAATCAACTCGATGGCAATGGGTTAGACAGGGTGAGGTTCAGGCAAAGACTGGCTGTAGATAGCATATGGCTGCTCCCCTCAAACACCCCAAAGCACAGAGCAGTCCCAGAGTACTTCTGACACAGTGTCTGGCGGCACGTCCAGAAGTCCCTCCCGGGCCCCTACCTCCATGCGCGCCTTGTAGAAATCCACATCGTGCAGCTTCTCCCGGCAGCGCACCAGCTCCATCTCCAGCCGCTCCACGCGGTTCGCCTTCTCTCTCAGAGAGTCCAGCTCATCACGGTAGGCACGCGCAGACCGGGCATCAGCCGCAAGCTGGATGTTCTGCCAAGGCAGGAGAGGCAAGCTTAGGGACTGCTGGTGGCCATGAGTAGGTGATCTCTGGGAAGGAAGGGAGGAAGAGCCAAGTCCCTGCAGGGTGGTGTTTCTCGGGACACCTGGCAGTGGAACAGCCCACGTGCATGCTGCCATGGGGGTGTCCCCAGGCTGTTGCTGAGAAACAGGGCTCAGTCAGAGGGCCTTCAGGCAGCTTTGCTCTGGGAGGGCAGGAAATGGTGGCCTTTGTTGGATGCTCCTGATGCTGCATTCCTGAGCATGCAGCCTGGTTCCTGGGGAGTCCCAGCTGCCCCACCCTCAACAGACAGGTCTCCCGCGCACCTCTTGTTTAACTTTCTGCAGCTCCAGCGCCAGCTGGTCCACTTCGTGTCTGGCATCCACAAGCTGCTCCGTCTTCTCCTCCCTGCAGGGGCGATTAGGAACAAGAACGTGACGAGAGGCTCCCCTGGCCATCACCAGGGGCAGCACACCACCTTCCAAGGCCACAGGAAAGGAAAGGGACCAGGAACTGGGCTTCTGGGGCCTGCGAATGTGTTCCCAACTTAAGAATTCTTTTCCGGGTTTAAGTTTCCAATGCCTGCCCTCAAACCACATCCACTAGCCACACGGGTTTCCCTGTAGAGTGTGGGACAGGTAGGCGGACTCCAGAGCCCAGCAGGCTGCTGACGGGGAGGTGGAGGCAGGTGCCCCGAGACGATGGGTCAAATGACATCCAACTACGGCAGGGAATGGGGAGAGAACAGGCTCTCCTGTCGGATGAGGGGAGCTGGACTCCTTCTCAGCCAAGAAAACACACCAGTGTGGGTCATTCTAATGCGCTCAGCTGCTAACCAGAAGGTTGGAGGTTCGAGTCCACCCGGAGGCACCCTGGAAGAAAGGCCTAGTGATCTACTTCTGAAAAACCAGCCACTGAAAACTTTCTGGAGCACCTTCTACTCTGACACACATGGGGCTGCCCTACATCAGAACAGACTCAACGGCAACTGGTGGGTCATTCCAGCCCCACACTGGGCTGGAGTGTGGACAACAGTCTACTCTGGGGGACAATGTATACTGCTGGGACTAGCAGGAGCCTGAATGACTGGGTTGAGCTCCCTCCTTGTGCAGGATAGTGGAGTTCAGAGCCAACCCTGGGTCCCCTGGGCCCAGGCCAGCCCCTCCCATGCTGTACCACATGCGAGGACAAGCCACACCCCAGAAACACATTTGCGACACCCCAAACAGAAGTGGAAAAACCAGCTCCAGTGGTGGTGGAGACTCACAGCTCCTGCCGGATACGCCGCAGCCTGGCCTTGGTGTCGGCCAGCTCCACTGCCAAGTGCTGCTTGTCTTCGCTGGAGAGGCTGCTGGTGGGGCTGGGGGTGGAGTCGGCGCTGGAGGACTTGAGGGGGCTGGGTGGGTGCTGGGCCTGGAGGTAGTCCCGCTCCTGAGTGAGGTCCACGATCAGCTAGGGCAGAGAGAGGGACGGAGGATGGCGACTGGGCGACCCGACCCCTCGCCCACCCATTGCACCTGTGCATGGCACACTGCTGGCAGAGCTGGTGCTCGTATTGAGTGAAAACACAATCAAAGACAAGAAAGAAATAAAAAGGTTTCAGGGGAGACAGAAACCAGGAAGGAGGCCAGAGAAGGGGGATGTGAGTTGTTAAAAGAAGAGGAAATATTCAGTGGGGCAAAAGGTGGGTAAATGGGAGGGTCACGAGGAAGCTCAGGATTTTAGTTAACGTCTACCCTCCCAGAGGTGTCCCTGGAGTCACCGGTCACTGTATGTGCAGTCACCAGGGAAGGTGTCCATGCCCCAACCCGCCAAGAACCCAGCAGGAGGATGGGAGTCGTCCAGACATTCTATGGAGCTGTAGCAAGGACAAGGAGGCTGTGTCACGCTGGGGGAGGCCGCGTACCTCGGAGCACTCATCCCGCTCGTCGATGAGCCTCCGGAGGTGAAAGACCATGTTCCGCGAGAGAGCCTCCAGCTCCTCCGGGGCCATGTCTGGGAGCTCCAGCCACTGCAGGTCAAACACGTTCTCCTGGTTGTGGGTCACCTGCAGGCACACAGGGACAGCTTGCTACAGGGAAGGGCCCCTGAGAATACCCCTCAGTGCTACCCAGCAGAGACCGGGCTGCACCAAGTCTAACACAGGTAACAGCGTGTATGTCCTCACAGCATGTACACTCACTGACATTGCTAAGCCCTCTTGACAAGTTTTCTGTGGCCAGCAGAGGGGCTCCGTAAGCAAGTCAGCCAAGCTTTCTCCAGCTGAGCTCTATGAATACAGACCATGTGTGCCTCCCAGAGCTGGACACTGATTCTTTTTATATATACCAGAAAGCACTTCTTCTGATATATTATTCCCCGAAAGGATCCTTGGATAAGGTGTTTCCACTGGAGCCACTTCAATTTACAACACAAAGAAGGAAGCCTTGGGGTGGCAAGGTGAGAAAGGGACTATACCTCTAACATGTTCTTCTTAGGACAAACTCTAATGCAAACAGGGAAAAATGTTAAAAAATCTTGTATCAGGGCAGGTTGACAGCAATCTTAGGCTATTTTTTGAGGTATTTCATAATCTCAAATAATGCCAAGGTGGGTCTGTACCTCACCCCCACTGACCACATGAGACCATCTGGTTTCATCCCTTTCCACGCAGGCCCGGGGCCTCCCAGCAGACGTTTGCTGCCCTGCCCTTCCCAACCCTGAGCCCCAGGGCTACCAGGGGAGGCAGAGCCTCTATTTCGAGTCCCCATCCTCTCATTTTTGGAGAATGCTCAGGTCCCAAAGCAGGAAACAGAAACAACGAAACCTGGGCTATCCATTCAGAGAAGCACACCAAAAAAAAGTCTGTAAATTATTCACAGTGGTACACGGAGAGAGAGAACAGCTAAAAAGCAAAGGCAGGGTGTGGTCAACACCCTGTTCTGCTCTCAAAGACACCTACACTCTTACCTCTCCCCACTTCATGAAGGGCAGGTTTGGACACAGCTGACCTCTGAGGTTTTGGGGAGATCCTGTTCTATGGTGCGGGGCCTCGGCCTGCTCTGTTCCCCACGCACGAGGGGGGTGGTGCGACCGATTTCGGAGACTCAGCCCCAGCTGCACAATGGTCACCTCAGACGTTTTCAATTAAAGGCTCAGGCCCTCCTTGCCTTTAACTGGATTCTCACTTGGTGGGTCTCTTGATGGAGCCTGGGCACCTGAATTTTTTAAAAGCACCCAACAAATTCTAAAGTCCAGCCCCACTGCCAGCCGCTGAATCAGATCATCACGTGATATTCTCATGGCTATGTATTTTTATTTTTTAAAAACACCCTGCTGGCTGGACAGGAAAGACAGCAAGTTGGCAACGAACCTGCTAATCTCATGGGACCTCGTCCCAGGTAGATAGATGCCTTTTCAAAACACAACAGATAAATGCGGAAAATTAAAAGGCAGACATTTCTAAGCTAACAGGCAGCCAGTCACTGATACTCATGGCTAGAATATTGAACTTTCCCCTGACGCCAGCTCCTCGGACCCCCACTCAGAGGTCAGGCCACACGGGGCCCAGCCAGCTGTGGGTATCCGGCACCATCGCCGACGCAGAGAACTCTGGGTTCAGCTGCCTGTGCCAATTACATGCCTGTTCCTACGCACTCATTGTCTTTTTCATGCATTTATCTCATCTGTGCAATTAGACTGCAGGCCGAACCATATCCTCTAAGATGATTAACACACGTAACAATTTCTTTTGGTGGAGGGGTGAGGTAGGGGTCAGGGGAGTAAATTCTCAGGTGGGTGTCCCCTTGCACCGACAGGCTTAATTTCCAGGGACGACTACCTGCTCAGGTCCAGGCAATGTTTCATTCTGTTATTCATAGGTCACTATGAGTTGGAGCTGACCCAACAGCACCTATCAAAAACACCTGCTCAGGTAATACCGCCTCTGCCAACATCAGTGCAGAGGGACCAGGAAGGTCCACCTCAAAGGCCAGCACCTCACCCATATCCACTGCACTGACCTCCGCTCTGCCACCCTCCCGGGGCCCGAGTCTGGGCTGGCTCCGAGTGTCCCAGGCGGCCCTTCTGAGGCGTGCTGACTTTGACTTCACACGCGGTGGCAGCCTGTTTCTCTGGCCCGTCACTGATGAGGGAAGAGACTCTCTCTCCATAAAGATCAACCATCTTAAACAGAGTGACATTCGCCAGAATACATTTCAGAGCCTGTACATCAAATTCTGAGCCGAAACCACTTGACAGCTCTTAAAAATAGTCTGAATCCATATTAGGCAATAAAAGGGAGACAAAAGAAGACTTGATGGAAGTGTTTTTTTGAAATTTTTATTTTTACCTCCATTTTATTTTAGCTTGCTGAGGGACATCTTTCTAAATAGAATCCGTGTCTCTGTGGTATCTAAAACCTAAAATTAACAAAAACCATTAACGGGTGCTGCACTTCTCAAGCTTTCCCACTTGCGGAGAGAGTATGTCTCCTGGTTGCCACGGGAGCCACAGACCCCAGCCAAGTCCACCCACAAAGCCCCACACCTACCTCCTGAATATGGGCCACGATTCCAGCCTGTGTCTCAATGTCCAGCTGTTTGATCCTTTCAATAAACTCTTCTTTCCTCTCACACTGTGAAGGGGTTACATGTGTTAATGGAGGCCATTCTGCAGGTGAGGGCAAAACCTGGGGCCATCACAGGTACACAGCTGCAGCTTCAAAATGAACCACCCACCCAGCCCCTGGCTTTCTCTTTTATAACAAAGAATGTTCTCATTCTCCTACCATCCCTTACACTGACGTTTCTCTGGAAGGCGCTCAGGTCACCTAGGTCAGGATTACCTGGGGAGCTTGTTTTTAAAAAACTCATCCTCAAGCCCCATCCCAGACTGAAAACACTGGTCTGGGACGCAAATTTGCGTTTAAACAAGTGAGCCAGGCGATTGTTGGTTTTTTTTTTTTCTTCAAAGCATGGTCCGCAGATCCCTACCTCTGCTACTCTGTCCCTCAAAGCGTCTGACTGTATACAGGAAACTTCTTAGCTTTGGTTTAGTCCAGTTGTGCTGACTTCCCTGTAGTGTGTGCTGTCCTTCCCTTCACCTAAGATAATTCTTACCTACTATCTAGTTACTGAATAACCCTCACGCTCCCTCCCCACCCTCGTAACCATCAAAGAACGTTGTCTTCTGTGTTTAAACCTTTTCTTGAGTTCTTATAATAGTGGTCTCATACAATATTTGTCCTTCTGTGACTAAATTCACTCAGCATAATGCCCTCCAGGTTCCTCCATGTTGTAAGATGTTTCACGGCTTCATCATTATTCTTTATCGTTACGTAGTATTCCACTGAGTGGATATACCATAATTTGTTTATCCTTCCATCTGTTGATGGACACCTAGGTTGTTTCCATCTTCTTGCTATTGTGAACAGTGCTGCAATGCACATGGGTGTGCATATATCTATTCGTGTGACAGCTCTTACAAGTAAAGATCAAGAACTCCTGTTTTCCTGGTGTCATCTTTAAATCAAGCCAGTAGTTTAGTTTAATTAAAATCAAATGTCTGCCTTGAGCATTATGTTCTTTTAAAGAATTATCTATATGAGAGCAAACTGACAGCAGCAACTCGCGAAAGATGAGATGATGAGCTTAGGGGGCAGTGAGTTGATGTTGATGGTGAAACAATTCAGAAAAGGAGATCAAGAAAGATGGCATGACTCGAAGGATGTAACCACTGTCACTGAATTGCACGTGTAGAAATGGTTGAATTGATGTATGTTTTGCTGTGGTCACCTTCAACAAAAAAGAAGAAGAACTACCCGTTTTAGGCCAGGGGTTGGCAAACTTCATCTGTAAAGGACCAGATGGTAAAAATTTTAGGCTTTGCGGGCCATTCGGTCTCCAGCACAACTACTCAACTCCGCTGTTGTAGTGTGTAAGCAGCCACAGACAATATACAAAGGAATGAGCATGGCTGTGTTCCAATAAAACTTTATTTATAAAGATAGATGGCAGGCCAGATATGGCCCATGGGTTGTAGTTTATTGATCTTTGTTTACATGTTCCTATTTAAAAAAACAAACAAAAAAAAAACCCACCACAGTCAAGCTGATTCCGGCTCAACAATGACCCTACAGGGCAGAGAACTGCCCCATTGTGTTTCCAAGGCTGTAATCTTTATGGAAACAGACTGCCACATCTTCCTCCCATGGAGTGGCTGGTGGGTTTGAATCGTCAACCTATTCGTTCGCAGCTGAGTGCTTTAACCACTGTGCCACCAGGGCTCCTCAGATGTTCCTATACTGGGGATGAATTGCTAACGATACACCTGGCCCAAAGGAGCCCCATCTGGCCTCCTGCCCCAGGTGCCCTGGTGCTAGAAACAGCTGCCATCTAAGATGGTGGTCACTTCTCTCCCAGGAGCCCAGTGGCTTCCATCATGTTGGACTGAAGGCAACTTCCTCCTACCTAAGGGAGCGTTTTGTTCCTCCCAAATCCACACACAAGGTGGCCAACAGCAGGCCCTGCTCCACCCTGCCCAATCCTACCTGGACGGCACAGCCCAGCACCAGCAGCAGCACCTTCTTGATTTCCTCCATGCTTTTCCCTAGGTCAAAAGAGCAACATGCTTAATTAAGCTCACCTGTTCATACATTCCAGTAGGTATACACATATGGGCTCATTTATTTTTTAAACCAAATGAGATAATTCTGTACATACTACAGTAAAACCTGCAAAAACCAGAACCTGGGTAAGGCAGAAAGCTGTCAGAGAAGGAAAAGTCAAATATTTTCCACTAAAATGAGAATTATAAAAGTAGTAAGACTCCATGCCGTCCAAGGTGGAAAACGTGCGAGGCCCGGAAAAATAAGGCAGTCCCATCAAGTTCTGGCTTTCACAGTATTTGCAGCCCTTTTCCATTCAGATATGTTGTGAGTTTCTTCCTATCGTAGTTAATGTATCTAAACGTCATCATCTCTTTTCAGTGCACGTGGTAAGGAGAGGAGGAAAGAACAACCTCCATAAGAAATATGGAAACCTGTTACCATCAAGTAGCGTCAATTCCGACTCTTAACGACCCTACAGGACAGAGCAGAACTGCCCCACAGGGTTTCCAAGGCTGTTATCTTTATGGAAGTAGACAGCCACATCTTTCTCCCATGGAGCTGATGGGGGATTTGAACCCATGACTTTTTGGTTAGCAGGCCAGGTGCTTAACCACTCCACAACCAGGGCTCAAGAAATATGGAGTGGGCTCTAAATAAGGCTGCAAGGCACACTCATGTATACAACTTTACCTTTTTATTATGGAAAATTTCAAAGAGACTAAGGAGAATCATATAATGAAGCCACACACTTATCACCCAGCTTCACGTGATCACCATTTTCCACATCTTATTTCATCTCTCGGCACTCCCCCGCCCCAACCCTTTTTATTTGTGTTTCATTGCTTGGCTGGAATATTTCAAAGCAAATCCCAGACAACACATATACATCATTTTTGAAGGCAGCACACTTACTTTGTACAAAGGCCAAAAACTTATTCAACCAATTCCCTTTCAGAGGTTCAGTTTTCCAACATTTTAATCTAAATGATACTACAAAAACATCTTAGTAGCTAATTCTTTATGCACACCCTTATTTACTTCCTTAGGGCAAATTCATCTTTTAAGCTTTTCGTATTCAGATTGTCAAACTGCACTGCAGAAAGATTTACCATTTTACACTCTCACAACCAATGTACACCAGTAAACCAGTGGCCATCAAGTTGATCCTGACTCATGGCGACCCCATGTGTGTCAGAGTAGAACTGTGCTCCAGAGAGTTTTCAATGGCTAATTTTTCAGAAGCAGACTGCCAGGCCTTTCTTGCAAGGCACCTCTGGGTAGACTCCAACCTCCACCTTCCAGCAGCCAAGTGCATTAACCATTTGCACAACCCAGGGACTCTAATATACAGGCCCCACACCCAGACCAACACTGGTCTTACCATTCTTTCAGAGCTTTACAATCAGATAGGCCCCAAATCCTAATGAATCACATTAAATTGTGTCTCCTTGATCTTGCAGAGGCAAAAGGGGTCTTCATCTGTTCATGAGTCTTAATCGTTTAAATAAACAGAACATCTGGGCTCTAGGCCTGGCTTAGCCACCCAGTAGCGGAGTGACCCCAGACAAGCCATACTCCCTGTCTTCAAGCCTCAGTTCCCACATCTATAAGATGGAGGCTCTGGCCTGGGTGATGTGCAGGGTCCCTCTCAGGTGTAAAATTCTATGATTTTCTGCCTTTCTCATTATATCCTGTTTTATTCAGCAGGAGAAGAGACATGCCAGAAATGGCATTGTTTTCTTAAGAGACTTAATTACCAATACTCACTCACACTGTGCTGAAATGGTCCAAACTATCAGCCAAAGACTCCTGGGATTAAGAAATCAAACCAATGTGGTGGTTCACGTTAGGTCCTTGAGCACAAGGAGGGTATGGAGTAACATGGGACGTCCTCCTAATACCTCTCCACGGAGAAACAGCTAAAAATGGCTTTTCCTCAGATAATGACTTCATTGTCTCAGAACTAGGAGCTGGGAGTGCACTCAACCATAAACGTCCCCTCCTAGCCTGAGGGCAGGTGGGTGGGGAGGGGTGGGCTGACCACAGGCTCTCTGGGGCCACTTCCCAGCTGGGGACTTAGATTCCACAGAGTTAAGAGTGAGGCTCCATGCTGTGAATCAATTTACTAAGCTTAAACCCTTCTCTCTGCTAATTAGTGTAGAAATTCATCAATATTTGGAATAGGAAATTTCTCAAAGGCCTTTATGACTTTTTAAAAAATTTAAGGCCTTTTATTTGGCCGCAAAGGCTCTAATCCACAGACATACATATATACCTACAATGACTTGCTTCTATTAAAGCTGAACTATTGATCAGGTAGTTAATTTTAATTTTGATAAACAGGAAATTCCCCCCGAGGACTAATAAAGCCTCCTGTCAGTCTCACCACAAGTTTTCAGGAGCAGCAATGCCCTTGTTTTCCATTCTCGCCTCCTTCCCCTCAGCCAGTCCATAGTCACTGGGCAAGTGCCCACTGTAAGCCCCTTCAGTTTATATAAAAAGCACACACCTGTCCCAGCACTTGGGAGCGCCTCCTCCAACAGTAAGAGTCACCTTTTCATAGGCCACTCACCTGGTACCTTAACCACCAGACGGCTGAGATACAAGCAGAATGCAGTTTAAAGGCCTCAGATCAGCCAACAGAAGCCAGAGTTCCTGAAGAAAATCATTTTCAACTCCCCTCTCAGCAAAGGCCCCAAAGGACCTAATTAAGTCGTATTTTAGAATCATTTAGACAATTCCGATGCTCCATCTTCCCAGCCCACAGTGGACTGAAACAGCAAATTACAAGAGAGGAGAAGAGCTGGAGAGGCCCACTGCTGGAAGCAAGAACCGTAGCTCTGATGGGGACAGCAAGGCAAGGCCAGAAGCCCTGCATGCAAGGGCTCCATTACAGCTGGAGGCTGAACAGAGAAGGAGCACTCGCCCATCACACACGGTGCAATGCTGTCCACTCATCCACCATGCCAGCCTTGAGTCATTCACTAATGCATGCATTCATTCATTCTCTCATTCACAAACGCCCATCAGACATCAAGAAAAAAGTAATCTGACCCAGAGCACTGTTAGGAAAGTATGGATTCCTGTTTCCTAGGTTTTGTAAAAGGGGGGAAAAAGGTTTTAAAGGTTGGGAATTTTAGAAACATTTTCATGGAAAAAAAAAAAGTAAAGTAAGTTTTTTGGTGATGAACTGCATACTAGGAAGTTCACCTATGCCCTCATTCAAATGAATGGTGCTGGGCTCCTTCTCACTGGGCTAAGTGAATAAAAACACTTGTTTATAACAAATGTGTTCTGTGATTTCCCACCCTTATGCAGATTCCTATGAAATTTTAAAAAAAGGGAGAAGCTGAAGGTCCCTCATTTCTCATGGGAAGCTGATGCCCAATTTCTCTGAGGATTTCAGTCATAAGAAGAACTGTTGCTATTTTTATGTCTACCAGATTGTGAGTTTTGAATAGTTCCAAAACATACCAGAAGACTCTACAGGGTCCCTGCCAGCAAGACTGGCTCAGTGACACAGTTCAGCACTGATTCCACCACTTCTATTGAAGGGACTGCATCACGCAAAGAAGAAACAAGCCTACAGACAACTCCCTACATGTGCTGGGTATGTGGACAGCCCCCAAGCTCAGTCCAAAGTGCAGACAATCAAACAGCACCTGAAAAAAGGTGATCAATGCTACAAGAACCAGAGGAGGGACATCTAGTCGGGGTAAGGATCAGGCAAGACTTTCTAAAAGAAATGACCTCTAAGTTGAGACTCAAGCATGAGGAAGGGGGACGGATTCAGGGAGGTGAGAGAGGGCTTTCCAGGCACAGGGAACAGCACGTGGACAGACCTAGCGGTAAGAGAGCCTGGTATTTGTCAATTTGTAAATGCTCTGTGGTTAAGCTCCCTAGAGTTGGCTTCAGAGTGAGAAATGGGGGCGGGTTAAGAAGTCATGTGGATTTCTGCACTGAATGTGTCACAAGCACCCCCTGGGGGAGGGAGTCAAGAAACATCAGATAACACGCATCTACCCACAACCCAGCCAACCCCACGTAGAATGACTGGCAAGTGTGGGGGAATCCCAGTGGAAATCCCACCACAGCCTGAGTTAGCAGTTCAGTCTAAGAAAATGCTTACTTTATCACCTGCTTCCTGAAGTTCTGGCACAGAGGAACTCATACTAGCTTTTCTTAGTCAAAACGGGATACATATATGTAGATCTAAACCAGACAGACAGACAGATAGATTAGACAGGTAAGTCTATCTAATCTCTCTACATACAGTGAAGCCTGTGAGAGCCAAAACTCAATGGAATGGCCTCGTTTTTCTGCGTCTCTCAAGTTTTACACCTTTGACAGGGTGCAGTCTTACCACTTTTCTAGTGTTCTCTATTGATGGAAAATATTTGCGTTTTCCCTCTCTGACAGATTTCTGCCTTACACAGGTTCAGATGTTTATAGCAATTAGCTTCCAAAAGAGAAAGGGAAAAAACCTGATATCACACGTGTTGTAAGGGTTGATGTGGGGACAGAAATGCATTTGAATAGTTAAAGCACTCCAACTTATAAAATGTGGAGGTTAGATTAGATTGGGGGTGGAAAATTCTTGGTACTGACACCCTGATTTTCTGTGTCTACGGCAGACATGACTAATCAATCACAGCACTTCCTTACTGAGCCTGGAACTAGTCCTCAGAATCCTTCTGAATACAGCATTCTACTGTCATTGCCAATCATTAGAAGTTGACACATGAAACAAAACTTACATTCCCTGTCTAGTAGACGATCTCCAGGGTCCTCCTTTGCCTTTAATCTTTGATTCTCTAAGATGTAGCCATTTGCATGTTCAAGACATATGCCCTGGCCTCTAGCTGTGTGAAATAAATCCTGCCATCTATAAATGATTATTTAGGTACGAAGCTGGAGATCTAGGCAAAGGAAAGTCAACAGAACAGCCCTTTCCAAGAGGGAGCCCTTCCTGCCGCAAACTGCACCCACTCTGCCTTGC